AGAGTATATAACATAGTATATGTTTCATAAATTAAAATCTCATAACTTTGTTTACATGCAGCATCCTGATGGGCAGATAATGGAAGATAAACACGGGGAGTTCTGGCTGGAATTTAATACTGGATCCCTCTTTACTGTGACCAAATATGAAGGATTTGAGGACAAACACTACTTATGCCTGCACACTGGCACTCTAAATCTTTGTCATCAGGGTACGCATGTCCTCCCTTTCCTCATAGGAAACCTTTTTCTGTTATTTTTTATCCCTTTTCATATTTGATTTTTGTATATATTTTCTTTTTTTTTGTACTCGGTAAACACAAGGTGGTAATAATTGCCATTTCTAATGTCCCTTAAAGTAACATTTGTGCCTTGATATATTTTTAACAGTGCGACTTCTAAGTCAGCAGATGAACAGGCAAATAGTCTGATGGGCAAAGGGTGAAATGCTGTAACCCATGGCATCCAATAAGATAGTTATATCGTTACATATTATGTAATCGTTTGCAAAAATGCAGTCATTAGGTGAAGGCCCATCAAATTCAAACAGTAGCAAATAAATAATTTGAAACCCTCCTTGTACCAAACCCTATACCCACCCAGTGGATTCAGAGAACATAAATGTGTGGTCCAATTTGCTCCAGTAGAGAAAAGAAATTCCCTCTTCATCCCCCCAGGCAAGCTTATATTCCCTGCCTCTATGATAGATGATATTATTTATAAATGTTATTCTCCGGTTATATTCTGTGCCTTTAGGAATATATCTTCCTTTTTTTTTTTTTTTAAACAATTAACTGATCTGGCTAGAAATAGTTCCTCTTAGAACTAGAAACCTTCAAAGCCCCTTTAGCTGTGACTAATGCTGCTACACTTCATCATGTGACAGGCAAATGGATTTGCAGATTAAGGTGCGGAGTACATATTTATCCCCCTGTATTTCAATAGCCTTTATTCAGAGGGGTTTTCAAGGACCACATTTAGAACATAGGCCCACTGTAATGGGAAAAAAAACCAATGAGCCATATCAGCCATATTTCATCTCCCTACAGTTAGACCAATCAGAACAGACAGATGCTTTCCAGTTGTCTGCTCTGGGTATTGCCCATAACTTTCTGCATTATTTTATAAAGGCCATTGCCCCGTTTGTTTCTCTGCAGGTATATTGGACAATGCCGTTGTTCCTGTTGATCCCAGACTCCCCAGCCTTCCTCGACCTCATTGGTTGGAGCCCACCATCTATCCTTCCGGAGAGGATGGAGCCAGTCACCGTGTAGCCAGCAATGGTGTGGGAGTGGACAGTCTCAGCATGCTAACCATGGCTGTAAAAATCCAGTCTGATAAATCTGAAAACAATACAAAGGTAATTGTATTACTGACCGTGGCGTCACAAGGGGGGTGCGGCCCGCACCCGGGTGCCACCATTGGAGGGGTGACACCAAAATGACTCAGTCATTTTGGTGTCACCACCCTCTGAAAAGTCGGGCACTCGGTCATGGTCAGTATCAGGAGAGAGGAGGGGACCTGGCTGGGTATCTTATCCCGCCGGGTGACTGTCCCCTCCTCTCTATGCCGGCGTCCATCACCAAGATGGCCGCTGGCAGGTATCAGAATACTGCCGCGTGTGCGCGATGACGTCACGCGCATGCACAGTGACGTCTTGGCGGGGTGACACTCGGTTACCGCTCTGGGTGTCACCCAGCCTCGGGACGCCCCTGATTACTGATACTTAATATAACAATGAAGGCAATTGCTTGAGGCCGCCATACACGGCTCGATTTATTTCTGTTCAGCCCACAGGCTGCACAAGAGAAATTCAGTTGATTCCACCATTCATGCTAACAGGGATGGAGGAATCTCCACTGCCAGCTATTGTATTCAAGCACCGGCGACTGCCTCACCACAATTCCACCAAATACTGACTAGCAACTGAGAGGATGCAGTTGCTATTTGGCTGATAATTTTCCATCTGGCTCAGTTGGTTTTTAAATTGACTTTTGTTGAGCCAAGTGGTGCTCATGGCTCGAATGTTGGGCAATTCAGCAGGACTCGGATGAAATTTAAGCAGTCTATGAGGGCTCTTATGCTCAAACTCAGAAAGGAAAAATGACATGTCCACAGCAGCAAACTCAGTCCTGTAACTTCTTTAGGGCTCAAATAAGCACTGGGGCTTGTAATCCAGTTTGGAAGCACTAGGGCTTGTAAACCAGTTCGGAAGAGAACCTGTCAGTAGGGATGCACCGATACTGATACTAGTATTCTACTAGTACTCGCACCCAAATGCTCCAATGCCTAGCCTGTTACCCGAACTTCCGGTATCTGGAACCCGGGAAGGCGAGTCATTACATGCTGCCCGGCTTCCTGATTGGCCGGGAAGCCAGCTCCATGCACGTGTAATCACTCGCTGCCTTGCGTCCTGATTGGTCGAGCAGCTGGCCATTCAGGAAGCCAGGCGGAGAGTCATTACCCACCCCCTGTTCCTGATTGGCCAAGAAGCCGGCTCCATGCTTCCTCGTCACCTGGTGATGAGGGAACATGGAGATGACTTCTCTGCTAATCGGGAAGCCGGGTGGCAAGTCTTTACACGCTGCCTGGCTTCCTTAATGGGACTTCTGGTATCGGTATTCCTTATCGGCAAGTACCAAAAAAATAATATTTGTACTCGTACTCAATACAGAAAAACCGGTATCAGTGCATTCCTACCAGGACAGAAATAAGGGAGTTGCCATGGCTAACTCAATTTTAAAAAACAGGCTTTGGGGATGCCTGTCCTTGCTTTGCTAGCTAATGAGCCACTAAACTGGCAAAGTAAAGTTCGGTCTCCAGACCTACGTATTGGTTCCAGGTCAGTGACTGACAAGATAATGAAGTAAGCATGGATAAGTCAGTTCCAGTGCTTCCCCCTTCAAGTCAGCAGTGGCTGCTTTCATATCCGTGTTCTGACAAGTTTCATGTTTCTGTCCTGATGAAAATTTTCGGTATACTGGGCTATGCTTTGTTCATGTTTTGTACTATGTTTTGTACTATGTTTTGTACTATGTTTTGTTCATGGAAACACAAGTGCAGAGTTCCTGAATTGTAGCTCCTGGCTGCCACATTGGAGCTGAACTCTTTGAAGAACTCCCAGGATTTTTAAAAGCTAACCCTAGCAGTGGAGCTACCCCTGCACTGCAAGGGTTAACGGCTCATTTTCCTTTAGGGGTCGGCATACAAAAGAAATACTTGCAGAAGAAAGCCCCCACTGCAAGGGTTAGCTTTAAAAACCCTTATTTTATTTCTTCTTTATTGAACTAAAAGACTGACGCCTTGCTCCAGGATTAGATATTGGCCTTATGGTTCACAACACCACTCCACCTGCAACTCCAGTATGAGGGAAAAGAATATCCGGCACACTCTGACCTTGTCCAATACAATTTTCCTTGACAGACCTCAAATAAGATTCCCGATACTAACGGTCTTTTCTCAGATATAAATGGGCTTTCTCACGGGTAACGGCTTTTTCAACAATTTGAAAAAGGTTTTATTGTCCATCAAATTGGCACTGTAGCATTTTTTTAATTCTTTTTTTGTCTTAATTGTTTTCTACTGTATGATTTAGGAATTCCTTGTTGCTGTGGGATTAAGAGGGGCAACACTACAGCACCGTGTGCTTCCTTCTGAACTGACCTGGCATGAGCAGGTAGGTGTCCATTTTTTTCACTTTTCTAAAACCTGGGGGAAATCCTTGCTGTTACTTTTATCTTTATGCTTCAAGAGACTCTGTTACCACGTTTTAGAATCGGCTTTAAAGCTGACATTTAATCTACTTATCTTTTGCCTTTCTTAGACCCCCTTTCACCATCAATGTGCTAATTTGTTTTTTGTCATTCAATATTTTTTATTGAGTTTCATAGTACAGAGAAGAACTGTCTTTTTAAAGTGAGGAAGAATAGGTACAAATACTGTAATGAAATGGATTCTTGTAACTAGGGATGCACCGATACCGATACTAGTATCTGTATCGGTGCCGATACCGAGTATTTGAGTGAGTACTCGTACTTGCCCAAATGCTCCGATTCCTAGCACGAGTACTTCCTGTATCAGGAAGCCGGGCAGCGCATCATTACACGCTGCCCGGTTTCCTGATTGGCCAGGAAACGGCTCCATGCTCTCTCGTCACTTGTGATGAGGGAGCATGGAGCCGACTTCCCAGCCAATCAGGAAGCCGGGTAGCGTGCAATGATGCGCTGCCCGGCTTCCCGATTGGTCAGGAAGCTAGCGAAGCCGGGCGCCGTTTAATGACGCAGCGTCCGGCATTCTGATTGGCCGGGAAGCCAGCGTCATGCTCCCTCGTCATCTCATGAATCATAATATTAAGAAAGTGACCTTAAAGGATTAGTTTGTATTGCTTTAGAAACAAATGGACCTGTGCCTTTAAGAAAAAGTATCGGCAATTGGTATCTGCGAGTACTTGATCAAAAGTATCGTTACTCGTACTCCAGTATTAAAAAAGTGGTATCGGTGCATCCCTACTTGTAACAGAAGTACACAATTGATTAGTCATATCAACAAAGGCCGACATGGCCAAAACATCTCCGCAGAATTGGCTGTAGAGGGGTGGAGGGGACAAACTATATCCCGCATGGTAACATAGTTGGCTTATATACCTAGTTGGCTTATATAGCTAATTACATTTTATCTTCTTTGTTCTGGCCTCTAGATCAAAACGAGCAGTTAACCCTTACACTGCAGGGGTAGCCCCACTGTAAGGGTTATTTTTTCAATTGCCTGGAGTTCTTCTTTAACTGCCTCCGGGCCGGCCGTAGTAGAAAAACACATCTGCTCTGCGGTGTCTCAGTATACCGCGAACTGTAGCTCGCGGTATACTGAGCTTAGGGTGATGGGAGGACGCTAGTTTGTGTCCTCCCGTTACCCTAAGGAGAACTATGGGGAAAACCCCTGACCCCATAGTTCTCCTTTAAATAAAACTTTTCCATGTTCATTGCATGCCCTCTTTTAGACCCAGTGATATCATTTATGTCTTTAAATTAAAATAATGATTTTAGGACTGCAAGACGCTGATATCTATTTAGCTAAGGTATGCAAAGCAACATGCCAGGTGAGTTTTATCACATGCATGTTTTACGCAGAGGCACACTTTTTAGTTGTGTATGTTTCATCTAAGTAGCAGAACTATTCTAACCTCCTGTTTCTTTTTAATATAGATATTACAATTTCTGAATATTACCGATGAGCCAGTTCTAGGCTACAACCCACCAGCCTCCATAACCACTTTTCATGTTCACCTCTGGAGTTGTGCTCTTGATTACAGGTAGCAATATGTGTTTTTTTTGCATTGTCTTGTATAATAATGCCTTTTTGTTAGTGTTGTCCAGCAGGGAATGCTTCCCCCTTTCAGCAGTGACTTGGCAGCTTGGCTCCTCCTCCCTGTGGTGATTTATCAGCTCCGTTTCCCCTTCATGCAGTAATTTAGCAGCCTTCTTATCTGTAATGTTAGAACAGATTAGCAACTCTCTTGAAGGGGTGGCAGTTTGATGAGAGCTGCTGAGACAATGACTTCAGTGGTTCTGCTGTGAACTTTGAGGATGAATTTTACCAAAGTGGCTGCCTCTACAGAGGTCAGCGAGGGCTCTTTGTAGAGTTAATTTACGGCTTGTTAGGAGTATGTCAATTTTTCAGTATCTATATTCTGGACAGATGTTCACTTTAAAGTTTATAGCAGAAACCCGATTTTTGCTGGCAGTAAGGAAGGATGTAAGAGTCTTACTAACAAGTCTATTGGAGGGTGGTTCTATAGAACACAATCGGGTAAATTTGCATTCTGTTTACTGCACTTCCAGAGTCCATTTATCTCCAATATTGATTTTCACATAGGCGTATTGAATTACTGAGAGATGATCTGCATGGTGCTACTTATGTAGAAAACAAAAGGGAACAGAGCGCCACCTCCGTGTGTAAAATCGTTTATTACAATAAATAAAACAAGGGATAAAAGTACTCACAAACAAACGTTTTCATCAGGCTTGGATGAGCAGCCCCTCAAGTCTGTGTAAAAAAACCGTGATAAACTGTTGAAAACTTTGAGTGAGCAACAGCAAGTGGATTGTCCAGCTGGCAGCCATTAGCGCCAAGAGCTAAAGAAAACTTTTTGTCTGGTGCTACTTATGCACCATCTCACCACAGCCTTGTATTCTGCTATTTGTTATAATATCTTTATACATAAATCAGTTTTCCTGCACATGAAACTGAACAATGTCTTCTTCCACAGACCTCTCTACCTGCCAATTAGAGCCCTGCTGACTGTGGAGACTTTCAGCATTTCCTGCAGCGTAGCACTGGACAAATCTTCATCCAGTTTACGGTAATCACTTTGCAAAATCTCCACTTTACAGCTAGTAGTATTCCAGAAGTCTGACACCGGTCTATATGTTTTAATATGTAACACTGTGTTCTTGTTGTGCAGGATTATCTTGGATGAAGCTGCGCTGCATTTATCAGACAAGTGCAATGTGGTGTCTGTCAATTTAAACCGGGGTAAGAGCAGTAAATACATTGATCACTAAATTATTTATTAACATATTTGAAATATTCTATTCTGAATTTGTGACTTTTGTGCCTTGGTGTCTGCAGCAATTCTGCAACTTTTTAATACAACAAAGAAACACAAAGGGCGCAAGGACAATGGAGCACTAGCTAACTTGGCAAATCGTAGCAAAAAAATCTTTGTGTAAACACTTACATGTAGTGCCTGTGTTCCGGCTTGAAGAATATCGTTCTAGTATTTTGTCGCAAGCAGAAAAACGCCTCCCACTGGAAAAAGTATATGAGCTACTTTGTTTGCAGATCACAGTGCTTTTTGGTCCCATAGACTTCAATGGGAAACGTTGTGCGACCAAATGCGGTCAGGTATGAACAGGGGCCATAGTTATGAATGGGATGCCATGTCTTGAGCGTTTTGTCGCACTCAAGACTAGCGAAGGAAATCCCTTGTCTTGAGCGTTTGAGTGTCAATACGCCTAGCTGTGAACGGATTAGGGCCATACACTAGCAGATTTTTCACTTGAACCATGGGGCACCTACATCCAATGCAATATTTTTCCCTGGCTTAACTTTCTGTGGAACTCCAACCTGACCTTTTTTTAATGTTCTGCATGTGGTTAGAAATGGTTGGAAACCTCTGTCTTGGTTTATTGCTTTCTGAGTCTCCATCGGGAAGATTAATCTGCATTTTCTGTCCCCCAGGGGCACAACAGGATGTACGTTGAAAATCATTAGGCTGTTCTTATAGGAGAATTATGTGGAGAGTGAAATACACTTGTCAGCACTGGGGGTCCCTGGTGCAAATCCTGGTCAGGATACTATCTGCAAGGAGTTTGCATGTTCTCCCTGTGCATGCGCGCATTTCCGCCGCGTATTCTGGTTTCCTCCCACACTCCTAAGACATGCTGGAAAGTTAATTGGCACTGGTGTGTTGTGCTCGAGACCTTGGATTGTATGCTCCTTGATGGCAGGGACTGATGTGAATGTGCAAATTGTCAATGCTATATAAATAAATAATAGTTTGACATTCCAACCTCCAGCCTGTTCTGAAGTGTATGTAGAGTTGGTGCAGTGCTACTTCTGACCCCTAGAGGGTAGAATTTACCAAATAATACAAAGGTAGTTAAAGGAGACCTATGAGGTGAGTGCTTTTCACTCACCTCATAGTTCTAGCCGACCTGTTACAATGAGACTGTCACAGGTCGGTTCAGTAGATCGGGAGGTGAGCGAACACATACCGGCGTTCGCTCACCTCTCGATCCTGTCACGGCTCTCTGCCGTGACAGGGGAGGGGCTGGATTCCCCCCTCCCCGCTCTGATCTGCCAGCGCTGACTGGCGGAACGGACAGGGGAGGGGGCGGGTACAGCTTGCTCTGCCTCTAGATAGGCAGAGCCAGCTGTCACTCAAGCAGCTGGACGGATCTCGACATCGATGTCGGGATCCGCTCCGGCGTCTCAGTATACTGCGAGCTGTAGCTCTCTATATACTGAGCTTAGGGTGACGGGAGGACGCTAGTTTGTGTCCTCCCGTTACCCTAAGGAGAACTATGGGGAAAAGCCTTGACCCCATAGTTCTCCTTTAACTCCAGCTGTTGTGGAACTACAAACCATGAGGCATTACTGTTCTTGCAGAGGCATCATGGGATTTGTAGTTGCACCACAGCTGGCGTGCCAAATTTGCCTACCGTTGAAATAAGATTTGAGCTAGTTGCAAATTTGCCTTCATTCAACAGTCACTGCTCCTATTCTGCATGGTCTTTAAACACGTTGCACTATAAATGTCCCCAATTATATATTCAGTACAAAGGATTTTAGGACCTGAGCTGTTTTAGGTGAGAAATAGTTTTGTATGTATTCACTAACGCAACAAATATCAAACTGTTTTCTTGCGCTCAGTCCAAGCCACGCTTTGAGATGTATTGTTCTAGCGACGTGATCCATATCAGAACATGCTCGGACTCCTGTGCTGCATTAATGAACCTCATTCAGTACATCGCCAACTACGGGGATCTGAATCCGCCTCCCCGAACACAGACCTCACCCGGACCCCACAACAAAGCCAAAAAGGTAAGCAGGGGAGGTGGACAATATTATCTATACCTTATACAACCTAGGTTGTGCAGGGTTTTTTTGGGAAGTGCCTGTTTTGGAGAGACAATATTATGATGGTATCCTGATTCTGCACCGACAACCCATCGAGGATTATGAACTCAAGGGACTGAAATCCTCCACTGTTTGACTTCTATTTAATAATTTAATTTGTGAATGTTAAATATTCACATATAAATGACCCATTTCACTCTGACATGATGAATTTGTGAATGTTTTAAAATATTGCAAATACTGAAATTGTTAGTTGCAGCAGGAGGAATAGGCGTCATTGGTCTGTGAAGGTTCTCATTCATCCAGGTCATGGTATATCTGTAAAAAATAAGTCAAGGCAACTGGACTTGATGTATTTTTCTTGAGGACATTTCACTGGACATCCAACCAGCTTTCTCAATTCAGAATGACTTGTACAAAAATTATATGAGAATAAATATGGTGAATGTTGCTCCAATCAACATAATCTGTTAATCGCAACCAGCATGGGGTCAGAGCCTTGCCACATACAATTTTGTTTTAACACCTCTCTCTGCGCAGGTTAATAACGCCTGCTAGCTCCAATTATGCAAATGCGATCAACACATTACCTCCATGAGGTCTCTGACCCCATGCTGGTTGCGATTAACAGATTACTTGGATTGAAGCAACATTCACAATATTTATTCCCAGTTAATTTTTGTACAAGTCATTCTGAATTGAAAAAGCTGGTCGGATGACCAGTGAAACATCTTCAAGAAAAATACAGCAAGTCCAGTTGCTTTGATTTTATTTTTTTACAGATAAGACTCATTGGCTTAGCAAGCTCAATGATAACTGAAATCATGTTTTGAATAAAGTGATCTTTTAAAGGATCTCTAACACCTGGCAGATAAAACCAATAAAATTTAGAGAGCTGTTCATTTTTTCCCTCCTCACAACTGCCTTAAGACTAGTCTCAGTCTTAAAACAGCAACGTATTTCCTTTTCACGATGCAGTTCCTGTGTTACAGAATGACCTCCGTGCAGCATCCAGCTCTCGGTGCCCTCTGCTAGCTGAGGCAGAGCAGCAAATACTCCGAGATCTAATGATCGATGCCATGGAGGATATGGACGTCAGTGAAGATGCAGCACCAGTAAAACCCCAGCTAAATGGTACATGCTTTTACATCGACTACATTTTATATATTCTTATTTATGTTTGCAGTGCACCTGTAGTCTCAGAAAAAATAGTTTATGAGTTTAAAGGAGAACTATGAGGTGAGTGATTTACACTCATCCTCATAGTAAGAGCTGCTGTGTGACATTGAAACTGTCACAGGTCAGCTCTATTGATCGGGAAGTAAGCGAACACATACCGTCGCTCGCTCACTTCCCGATCATCTCCCTGCAGAGAGCCTTGATTGTCGGTCACCGGTCCCCACAGGGATTCCCCCCCCTCTCCGATCCTCCAGCGCTGATTGGCGGAACGGACGGGGGCAGGCACAGTTGGCTCTGCTTCCAGATAGGCAGGTTGCTGCTAGGGGACGGTTCACACCACAAACTCCGCGTTCCAGTGCATTCGGCCTCTGGAACGCAAGCCGGCAGGCTCCCTGCGTTCAGGAGTGGGCATGGCAGTGCATTGAAGTTAATGGCACCACAGCCACCCCCCCTCCCGCATTGCGATCACCCGCACCCAGAACGCAGGCACATTAGTGCCTGCGTTCTGGTCCAGTGCGATCTGCAAAAATAGTGCTTGCAGCATTTTTTGCAGATCCCACTGGACCGGAACACAGGCACTAATGTGCCCTGCGTGGCTACAGTGCCATTGAGTTCAATGCACCGACACCGACACGCCCCCTCCCACCCCAAAACAAAGTGAGCCGGCCTGGTTGCGTTCCAGGGGCCGAACGCCCTGGAACGCACCCTTGATGGTGTGACTGGGCCCTGAACCGGCCCTTAGACACTTAGGAATTAATTTGAAGCACAGAGTACTGTGTCTTTTACAGTGTAGTGCAAAATATAGTAACCATAGGCAGCCAATCAGCATTCCAACGTTTTTTGATCTGAGTACAATAAACACAAATGTGATCAGATGTTATGGGGTTATTGCACTTTCACCTAGTCCTTATACATTACATTGTCATTACACATAGCACTGCTGAAGTGTTGACAAAAACATTGACTTGAAGGGCGCACTAACCAGTTTTTTTTAAATGTTTGCTTAGGAATTTCAGATGGCAAATTTGAATCTCAGGATCCCCCGTGCTCTGACCTTTTCCTTTTTCCTGATGAAAGCGGTACCGTGTCGGAAGAGCCCAGTCCAACATTCATGATGGCTGCTCCCCATCTTATGAGCGAAGCCATTCTTGATGGTCCACTTGACAGTGATGACTTCTGTATTTTGTATGCTCCAAAAACGCCTGCTATGGTAAGCTTCCATATTGCCACAAAAAGTATTAAAGCACAACCATTGTACATCAAGGGTAGAGCAGAGCTCCAATGCTCAATGTACATAAGTAACTACACATAATACATTGAAACAAGGTTTTATTACTTTTAACACACATTAAAGTGACTCTAGACTCGGGAGTTAAATCTTGAAAATGCATTCAAGTACCTTAACTATGAACAAAAATGTCATGGCTGAAACGGGAACTCAGAGAAAGGTTTGCCACATTGTGCAAATATGCACATCATACTTGCAAGCACAATATTGTTGGTTTTGATACACTTGAAGCTTAAAGTGACACTAAACTCAGGAGTTAAATCTTACAAATGCATTCAAGAACCCTATTAACAAAATTTTGTATCTTATTTGTGTATCACTCGGCTGTAGATCCTCAAATCATCTCTGAATTGATGCCGACACTGTCCTTCCTTCTGGAGGGGGGCTACTTTTCTTCCCCATGGTCCCGGTGTGTGTTGTAAAGTCACCACTGCAAGCTTGCTCCTGTGATGGACTATAACCTCAATACAAATTAGCTAAATAAACATGAGATTGTAGTCCATCCCGGGAGCGAGCTTGGAGCGGTGACTACTTTACACCACACACAGGGACCATGGGGAACAAAAGTAGCCCCCCTCCAGAAGGAAGGACAGTGTCAGCACCAATTCAGAGATGATTTGAGGATCTACAGCCGAGTGATACACAAATAAGATACATTGTTGTTAAGGTGCTGGAATGCATTTTTAAGATATAACTCCGGAGTTTAGTGTCACTTTAATGTGGATTTAACTTTGAATATGTTTATCTGAAGTTAATTGAAAAGACTACCTAAGCCTATCTTGACCAGAGGACATTGATGCATATAGATACTCATGCCAGATTTAGCAGTGTCTGTATGCCTTAGTTAACTAAACAATAAATGTATGGATAATGTGCATATATATATGTGGGTGTGTGTATCTCATAGGGTTTACATCTACTTTAAATACTGGAGATCAGAATAATTATGGATGGTAATAATTCTCTTAGGACCATGTCAGAGATATGATTCAGTCACAGGAAATCAGAGCTATTTTTTTATGGAGTCTCTAACTCGCTCATTTTACAGTGATTTCGAGCTCAGTCGCTCAACGATTCCATTTGAGCAGAGCTTCAGGTCAGCGAGAATCAATCGCTCTTCACTCACCTCCTATGGCTTAGCTACAAACGCCTGAAGAAAAGCGATTTGTAGGAGAGCGCACCGTCCCAATGCTGTAGCGTTAGTTTAAATTGTTAATTCTCTAGTGAATTGCTTCTGTAAAATTGATGGTCTGACTAGGCCCTTACCTATGTGTTTTTGTTTTTTTTGGGGGGTGTGTCCAACCTTTTAAGAATAAGGATGAGGAGCCAAGTGTGAGAAAACTGGTTGAAGATTTGATCATAATTAAAGAGAATTACTTTAGTTCCCCGGATGGGAAGACGGACACCAGTAAGGCTCCGGTACATTTCCCAGTTCCTGTAATCCGGTATGTGGTTAAAGAGGTCTCGCTGGTCTGGCACCTGTACGGTGGAAAAGATTTTGGAAGTACTCATCCTTCTACATCACCGGCTAAGCATTATATGTGAGTATTCTATGTACAGGCATTCATATTTTGTCTGCATTTCGCTTACAATAAAGCTAATCTATAGAAATGTAAAAGAATTGTTTGAGAAGTGTAAGCCGTAGTTCACAAGGGCTTCAGCTTCTACGTGGTAGTCTGAAGAGCCGTGTGTACAGCAAGCACTTACAAGGCATATGCAAAGCTTTCAGTCAGCTTTCTTGAAACATTTAAAAGCACCCTTCAGCTGCAGTTACTGGGTGTTAAAGCAGAGCTCCATGCAGATATAAAAGACACAAATTAATGCAGGTCTGTGATCATTAGATGTTTTTTCTGTGATCATTAATCATTAAATATGTATTTTAAATACAGCAGTGTAAGTCCCTGGATTTGATCTTGTATCAACCTTCTGCAGTCCCAGTACAGCAGGGCTGGTGTGTAAGAGGAAGAAGCATCGCTGGAGTGAACACGCTTCCTGTGTGAAAGGCCATGCATGTGCAGTGCACACTCTCTATCTACCCCAGCTCAGCATTGCTAGCTAGGGGCAAGTGTCAGCAGTTGTGTCCTGCAATTAACACAGGACATAAAAATGTCAACAATCTAGTATTTGGGCCAGACTGCACGGGGACAGAAAGGGCCTATTGGTATGGCATCTGCATCTACCTATATTTGAACAAACCCTTCAGTGCATTTAAGACTACTGGGCCACCTTGTCTGAATGGGCCAGTTAAAAACCAAGGTGAACTTGCTCTTTATGGTAAATGGAGTGATGCTTCTAATGTTGGAAATCTGCTGGATAGCAAATGATTCATTTCACTGATCTTGATTTTAGGCTTGTCTAGAATTGTCCTAAATTGCTTTTTTCTTTCTTCAAGGAGTCCTCACAGCTCCCCGTCAAGTACCCCCACCAGACGAGCCAACAGCATAATCCGAGGGGGCCGTGGACGAAACCAGGACTTGCTAATGGAAATCCAGTTAACCAAGGTAAAGTGGGTTTTCATAAGTAGTCTTTGTGTCCTCTCCTATGTGTATATTATGTTAAAGTGACTCTACCATAGCATTTTATATCTCTCTACATGCATTATGCAGACCTTCTAGTTTTAGTAGGTGTATAGTACGGATCAGCAACATTCAGCCATTACATCTTTTTTTAGGTTAAACTATATTACAGTTTCCTGTGCTGTCGATAGACTCCCAAGGCAAGATAAAAACGACAGGTCGCCAGCACTCAGATAATTTAAATAGGTATGTCCCTTTTTATGGACAATTGTGTCACGACAATCAACAAAGCCGACGTTTCGGGGCAGCGCAGGGTCCCTTCTTCAAGTCAGAAAGATGTAATGTTTGGTCACATCGTTACTACAAGCACCATCGTTCTTATTGGCCGGGATTGCTGTAAGCTTTGCGGAGAGCACCCTCACCAACTGAGACTCCTAAGGCAAACTTTTCTTTTTCAGACACTGTTAGAATGCCAGCGTACCAAAAGTGCTGCCAAATACATGTGCAAAGACTTTGTAAACTGACAGCTTTACCTCCTCCAGCAGCCCGCTCACAGTGTTTATCATCCTTGAGATCAGGTTGAGGACAGTTCTGCCTCCATAGTGGGGTTACAGCTTGACACTGAACTGATAGTTCTATACACAGGTAGAGAATACTTGTGAATGACCACACACATACACCACCTCAGAGATAATACTGCACTATTAACTTAACAATAATAATAATAATATTAACTTAAAAGGTTAGATGGAAATTAGTAAATTAAAATTTAGGAAATGATTGAGGATCTTTTTTGATGCAAATTTCTCTAATCAACTACTGTGATGCACCAAACAGTGTTCTTAAAACACAAGCTATATACATGACATCACATCCATTACCTCACAAATCCCAAAAAATGAATGCCGTATTAAAGGAAAGATGCAAATCATTGCTTTATGCCCCAATGGACAGCTGTGTAGACAGGACGGCACATTTACAGAACATAGTTTAGAGACAATATGGATAGAAAGCTTAAGGTATGGGGTTTCTAAGCCTCCTAATGTCTCTTTCCCTATGCCGAGCCTTTAACTTAAGAAAACTCTAGGAACTGAAATACTAATAATTACCTCATCATTTTTTTTTTTTTTTTGAAGCAACATTTGCAAGGTTATCCACAAAAGGGTGAAGAGTTTGGAGAAGGCCGGAGAAGTGAACAATCTAGGACAACATAGCGGATTTGGAACAATTATCCAATTCAGCTCACTTTCCAGTTCAGCTATTTTGTCCTAGATTGTTCACTTCTCCGGCCTTCTCCAAACTCTTCACCCTTTTGTGAATAACCCTGTTGGTGATCTTCCGTCATTGACATGAACTCACGTTTTTTTGCTGTGTTATAGGGAACATCTTGAGATGATAACTGTACCCCAGCATTAGCCTGAAAACGTATATTTTGCCTTGAATTTATGCTGAAATATCTGGTGTGTGAGACCTAAGGTACTTCCGCTTCTGACTGCTGGTCTCCTGAGATTTGGTGATGTCCATTCCATTCTCCTTCCTGGAGAGGAAGCTGGAGGACCAGTGCAAGGATCTCCTTGCTTCTGCTTTAATCTCTGCAGCTGTACGTTCCCCACTTCTCCTGCTGCTTGTTGAATAATCTCCCACAAGTCTTCAGATCAGCCGTCATCAGGGAAGTGTGTGTGTGTGTGTGTGTGTGTGTGCGTGCGAGAGCTCTGAAATGAGGAAGAAAAGCCCTTTTCTACCAAGATGGCTGCCTCCATTTAAACACTCTTTTCGGAACTAGACATGGTGAGTCAGATGCAGGGAGCCCATAGGAAATAATAGTCACTAGTCTTTTGAATTCGGCTAGCACAGCTTTTATAGTTCAATTTTATGAATCATTGTCCAACTTGGAATTGGACATTAATTCATAGAGTTACATTTCTCTTTCTGTTCCCTTCTCTCTCTCCCTCTCAAAAAAAAATCTTTCCACCAATAATGGCCCTGCAGACCTTCATTCATACGTTGTCTCCATACACAGGTGAAATTCCAGCATGAAGTTTACCCTCAGGCTGATCTGGCCACAGCCGCCGCTCTATCAGAACAGCTGGTATCACGTCAGGTTTTCATCGTCCAGGATTTAGAGATTAGAGATCGTCTGGCCTCGTCTCAGATGAATAAATTCCTTCATCTCTACAGCAGCAAGGAGATGCCACGGAAAGCGCATGCCAACATGGTAAGATGCCGCAGTCACTGTGTATGGTTTCAAGGTCATTGGTGCCTGGATCTTTCAAAGTGTTGCCCTGTCTTCCTCATGGAACCACACATCTCTAGTTTCTTGGGATGCAAATGTGGCAATTTGGGAACCCCAAAAATGCATTCTGGTTCCCAAGTTTAAGGATTTGCACTTCTACTATACATTGAGCATTTGTATCAATAGAGGTAAACAGAAGTTTTAGTATATGTAGCAATGTAGCCGGGCAGAAAAGAAATGTTTCATCACTTTGTAATGAAAAGAGAACTGAATTTCTGTTTGTGATTTATATTACAGGAGTGTGAGAGAATTGGTCAAGGGGTGAATACTTTTGCTTCCTGCCTGCCTGGAGATTTGCTGTTCCTTTCTCGTAGTATCTTATTATAGTTCTGAACTAAACATACGCTCACTGAGCAATTTATGTATTACACCTGTTAATGCAGTTCCCTAATCCGCCAATCATGTGGCAGTGGGGTAATGCAGATACAGGCCAGGGGCTTTAGTAATTGTTCACCTCAAACCCCAGTATAGTAAACAATTGTGTTTTCATTGATTTTGACGGTACCATGATTGTCGGTGCCTGCGGACAGAAACGTCTTGTAGATGAGAGTGGTCAGGGGAGACTGGCCAGACAGGTATGTGACCACTCTTTACAACTGTTGTGAGCAGAAAAGCATCAAAAAATTAACAACACAATGAGGGAAATGTCTCAAAACTGGAGCAGACAAAAAATGGAGCAGCTGTGCATGACAGCCAATCAGCTTCTCTCTTTCTTTTTCAAATCTTAACTGAACAAACTGAAGAGAGAAGCTGATTGGCTGTCATGCACAGAAGTGGTTAATGAACCTTGAGGCGGATGGGCTACAACAGCAGAAGACCACATTGGGTTCCTCCCTGTCAGCTAAGAACAGATTACGGAGTCTGCAGTGGGCACAGGCTGACCATAACTGGACGGAATGAAAACATTTAGCCTAGTCTGATGATTCTGGATTTCTGCACACAGAGGATAGGCTAGTCACTGGATCTTCATGCTTTGGGATGTGGTAGAACGGGGAGAATGGAAATGGGACTGTGTTTGTAGAATGTGGAATCTATGACACGAAGAACTGGGGCTGTTTAAAGAGTAAAGGGGCGTCCTACCCAGTATTCGTATAGTATATGCAATAAATTGCTTGGTGAGTATATGCATTGATGGGGTACCAAACAGGAAGCATCAGCTGTATGTTAGACTAATAAATATGACTGCCCTCATGTTCTTATGTTACTATTAACAGGAAGGTCTTTAGAAAGGACAGAGATTCCAATTCCCTTGAGTACAGTAATGAATTATTATCGTGTCAGCAATCCTATATCTAAAATAGCCCCCAAACCACAGCTTCTGTTACAGTGTACAGATATGTGGAAGTGACTTATCTGTTTATCCGGTTATTACACAACCGCAGCTGCAGTAGACATTCTTGTCCCGAGGTTGTGTATGTGCAAAGCAACTTTATCTGCACCTCATACCAAGAGGATTCACAGTGTGATGACCTAAAGTGGCTTTCCACTATAAAGTGAAACTCTTACCTTTTTAAATCCCCGAAAATTAAAAAAAAAAAAGAATCAAAGCTATGTCTATGAACAGTATTCTATCTATTCTATCCAAGTCTATCTATTACTTACAATTTTTGGCTACAGTTGGACTTTAAAGCCTAACTAAACATCTGGTTTAAATCCGCTAAATGCATTCTAGGTGCATCAAAACAAAAAAAGTCTTGTATATCTTTGGGCTCGTTCACACTCTCCCACATGCTGAAATGAGATTTTTTTGTTGTTTTTTTTTTTGGGTGTACAAAGTTTACACTCAGTTCAGGTCTCGGTATTGCAGAGTGGTTTGCTGCACTGCGGTGCCACACACTACGCTTTGAAAAATGCAACGTGTGCATTTTGCACACCACAACACACCCACATTGTGGTGTGAGAGGGGCACATTGAAAACAATTATTATTATAATACAGGATTTATATAGCGCCAACAGTTTGCGCAGCACTTTACATTACAAGGAAAACATTACAGTTACAATACAATTCAAGACAAGATGGTAAGGAGGGCCCTGCCCCTTAGAGCTTGCAATCAAAACAATTGTTTTCTATGTGCTCTAGTGGTGATTGGCATTGATCAGTTGCTGCAGAACGTCAGTCACCGCAAATGGTGTGAACAAGCCCTTATTCTTCGTTTCCTTTTTAAAGCAGCCACAGCCTGAGTACAAAAGTCTGTCTCCTACCAGCAGCCGCACACAGCCCTTGCTCTCTGTGGGGAAGCAGGGGTCTCTCGGGGAGAGGTCTGACATGCCCCCTACTGCGTCAGACCTAAAGCTCTACAATCAGCAAAGTGAGATCATCATGATTGAAGACCTCTAGCTGTGACATTCCTAGGGTATGTCTGACCAGCTCTGACTCCGTAGGGTATGTCTGACCAGCTCTGACTCAAGGTATGTCAAATTCTGCAGAAACACCACTGCTTCCAGACAGAAAGCAAGGATCCCACTCTGCAGCGAGTTTGTTCACCTCTTGTTTTGATACATCTAAAATGTATTTAGCTCATTTTAAACTGAAATCTCATTTGGGCTTTAATGAAGCTTTCATATTAAACACAATGCTTTATTTGCCTGGACCACAAGCCTCAGCCTCATGTCTCACTTGTGTCTCTGCTGTTTTGTTGTTAACTTTGTAAATTGTATTATTATTTTTAGCTGACAATCAAAGCCTTACATGTTCGCCCAGAATCCGCCCTCTCACCACAAGAATGTTGTCTTCGAGTGACCCTCATGCCACTTCGCCTCAACATCGACCAGGTAAATTCTGGCCTGCCGTAAGTGATGTCTGCCCAGCAGAGGGCAGCAGGGCTGCGGTGACGCCGTTCTATTAAACATAACATACGGTAGATACACTCAGGATATGTGTAGGCGCAATGTTTACAAAGTCAGAAACATAATTTTATCTTTTAACGATTTGTTTAAGGATGGGCAACACTCAGAATCCTGGATGACCAATACTGGTCTGTAAAATAATTAAAAGAAGAACATCTGGCGATTTTTGTTTTTCCTTTTCATTGAGCTGTTAGAGGATATTGGGCTGTATCATCACAATAAAGAGGATGAAGAAAAAAGAATATAAAATATAAGTTATGCTGTTAGATCACACGGTTGGCTTGCAGCCTTCCCAGGGACAACAGGTATACTTTAACTGCTCATGCTGTTTATGTGGAAGGGACTTCAAAGCTCTTCAGTACACCTTTTGTGCAGGACACTTTGCTGATACAATAAATAGAGAACCTACACTATATACTATACATTTCAATCACTAGCTCTTTTATCATAACACTACAGTATAATATCTTCCATTTATCACACGGTGACATTTCAAGCCTTGGTGGCCCTTTGCTAAACAGGGAGTATTGTATTCCAGTCTTGACAAAGGGGGTGCCAAGCCTTGAAACCCCTTCCATGTGATATTTGGGGAATATTCTGCTGTACTGCCATGATTTATAAATAAAAGTGATCATGATTGAAATGTATTGCATACAAACCTTCAGTATAGGACTCCTTGCTGGTATGAGAAGCGCTGATGGACTGGTGACGGTGCATTGACCGGGTTTGTAAGGCTTCTCCTTTGTATCCAAAACTGGGAAAAGCATTGCGTGTCATTCCACCCTAAATTTTTTAAGCTGATTTCTAATGAACAGCTTTTGGTTAGTAATCTTTACGTGACATGGAGTGATTCAAGGACACAGTGCAACAACAAGTGCAGAACACATGAGTTTCCTTTAGCAGTTTGACTATTTGTTATTTCTATCCGGGCTTTAGGCCAGAGATCCACTTTTTTTGCTGTAGTTTTCATGCCTTTGGTTTTTTTCCAGTGGTGAAATTGTCTAAACAGTCAGCATTACCCATAGAAGCCAAATTCTCTCTTTCGCTCTCCTGTGTTGTATCCGGTCATTAAAAGGGAGGCTCTGATTGGACGCTGTGCTGTTGTTGTCTGTAGCTGCTGTTTTATTCCCCTCTTATGGTGTTTATGTTGCAGGATGCCTTGTTTTTCCTGAAGGACTTTTTCACAAGCCTGTCTGCAGAAGTGGAAATATTGGTGACCCCGGATCCTGAAGGTAAAATGATTCAGTGAATCGGATTTATATTCAATATCAAGGGAGAGTATTTGTGTTACCCCCTACCATCAGGGCATAAGCTTTTACATCAAGACTTTTGGCACTGTAGGTGTTAGCGCAAGAATTTGTGTACTGTTAACAAATGAGAATTTCTCTGGGTTACCCCTGCTCTCCACAGCGTATAACCTGACAACCCAAGAGGTCCATTTGCGTTTGCCCCCC